ACGGGGAGGTGACCTCCTACTATTCACGTTACAAGACACAAGCATGATCACCAACCTTCTAGATTATACAAATTGCTTGACTTTTAATGCTAAGGAGAATCCGTACCCGATCGGTATTCGGTCATGCCAAAACAATGCCTTTCCGAACCCTGATACCGTTTGTCTTGATCAAAGTGGAGCGAAAATGGAATCGTTTTACATATATGATTGTCTCCTTCGGGATCTCAAAGTAAAACTACCTTTTGATGAGTTTACTATGGGAGTGTTGAGGGTTCTCAATGTTGCCCCAACCCAATTACATCCGAACAGCTGGGCTCAACTGTAGGGTTTCAAACACTTGTGCCGATGTATTCACATTAGGCCTTCCCCACTACTCTTTCTTTATTTCTAATCGTCCAAACCCTCCATATTGGCTAAGTGGTTGTCATTGAGCCGAGTAGGGGAACGACAATTGTTGGATAGATTTACATCCTCTTACAAGAATTTCAAGGCGAGATTTTTTCGAGTGACCATTCGTCCGAATGGGAGGCGTTTCTTTTTTGGTGAGGATAACAGAAGCTTGTTTCCTCTATACTGGACGCGTGCCTCTCGGCCATACGATGTAGTACTGAAGAGTCTTCTTTCGGCTGAAGAACGGAAATATTTGAAACTGTTACTCCGCCTTCCTCGGCGCTTGCCGACCCGATCTCTAATTAACCTGGTTGAGTCTCCCCTATGGGAGAACGACCTGATAGGTACGTTATCCATCCTATTTCGACTATCGGCTAAATTCCTATTGATGTTTACTTTATCTTTTTGCAGGAATTATGGTGTCCAGTGGAGCTGACGAACTTAACATCCGCAACTTGTTGGCCGCTCGAGTGAAGCAGGTTAAGCAAGTCGGGGGTGTTGGTACTTCGACTGTTGCACGCACTCCCCAACGTGAGCAAGATAACCGAGAGCTTCCTTCACCTAAAAAGAAAGGGAGGAAGGGGAAAGAGGTTGATCGGGAGCGAACAAAGAGGAAGGGTTCTGAAGAACAATCAGGGAATCCAAATCAGGGAATCCAAAGAAGGCTAAATCGGTGCCCGAGGCATCACCCAATCGGACCGTGATTGTGGTGCCGCCCCAACTAATGTCTCGGGCTTTTCTGAGTGATGATGTATCGGCCGATACCCTGATTCGGTCCGATGCTATGTCGCCTTTCGAGCAGGTGTTCCTGGTCGGCCTGGAGACGAGAACCAAGTGGAGACTTTTCTGCGAGATGCAAGCGCGTTCGTTGGCCTTGGCTCATCACCTAGCCATGGAGTCTGTCGACGAGGTGATGCATCTGAAACAAAGTCTTGAAGAGGCCGAAAAGGCCACAACCAAAGCTATTTCGGTCACCGAACAAGCAGCAGTCAGAAATCGCGAGTTGGCTGCCGAGCTGGATTCTGTTAGGCGGGAGAATGACACGCTTCGCCTGGATCTACAAAAGGCAATCAAGGAAGAGCGCCCCCGAACAGAGATCGCCCAAGCCGAATACAATCGCCTGAAAGAGCAGGCTAAGGAGAAGATCATTGCTCAGCATGAGGCTGGATTCAAACATGTTGTTCGACAGGCAAAGCATTTCGACCAATTTCATGAGGACTTTGAATTCGACATGACCTAGGATTTTTATCAAGGGTCATTTATGTCCTTTGCTGAGATGCCCGAGGGAGCGAATCCTGATGACTCGGCGCCGGGAGCTGCCCCCCAGCCAGAAGGAGATGCTGACGCTTCGTCTGGTGAAGAGGACGATGAACATGCCAATCCCGAACCAGAAGGGGAAACTGAGACTCATGCTCAGGATGACACGGTCAGAAATTCGGAGGAGTAGTGTTGGTATTTTACAAGGTTTTTTATAACAAGGGGAGCCGATAGAGCCTCCACTTTTTGAATTTTTGTAGCAAGGGGGCCGATAGAGCCTCCACTTTTTGAATGAAATGGCATTTTCTGTTGAATCATGTGGTGTATTTTTGAATCAATGCTAATTCGGATCGTCTCTCTTAACTTTAAAACTTAACGAATTTATTCCAAGAATGTTTTATATAAACTGTTCCGAAAGAATTGTCCAAAACCAAGTGGGGGTTACTTGGAAATGTGTGGCGTTCATAGCAAAACCGAGTGGGCGTCATTCGGAAATGCCTTGATTTCTTAGCAAAAACGAGTGGAGGTCATTCGGAATTGTCTTGATGTCTTCGCAAAACCGAGTGGAGGTCATTCGGAAATTTCTTGATGTCTTAGCAAAACCGAGTGGATGTCATTCGGAAATGTTTTCGGTTTCTAAGCAAACCGGATGAGGACTCACCCGAAAATTGTGTTTTCTGGGCAATACCGAGTGGAACTCACTCGTCATTGCATTATTTTCTGAGCAAGACCTAGTGGAACTCACTTGTAATTGCGTTGCTTATCAAGCAAGCCCGAATGAGTACTCACTCGGAATTGCATTGTTTTCTGAGCAAAACCGAGTGGAACTCATTCAGATTTGCGTTGCTTTCCAAGCAAGACCGAATGAGGACTCACTCGGAATTGTGTTGTTTTCGATTGAAGGCACATCCTTGGCCGAGTTGATCAACTCAGGAGGGAAGCCTTTTGCGTGAATTTTCGAGGCACATCCTTGGCCGAGTTGATCAACTCAGGAGGGAAGCCTTTTGCGTGAATTTTCGAGGCACATCCTTGGCTGAGTTGATCAACTCGAGAGGGAAGCCTTTTGTGGGTATTAACATCCCCGTCCCCGATTTTATCAATTGGGGAAAACCCGAACCCGAATCCGATAAACACGGATTTTTCCCATTCAAATCGGGGCGGGTTCGGGCGAGTACCCACGAGAGCGGGTTAGATTGCCATGCCTAATTGCATATTTAAAATACAAATACTACTTCCTATTATTTGATGTACTATATGCATAATTTTATCATAATGAAACCTAATATAAATACACCTTTTGACCGATAGATAAAATTGATTATAGAGGAACAAGATTATATGGATAGACACTACTTAGTTTAAGACAGATGCTAATTAAGTAAAAATGATATAAGTTTGAAAACTATTACAAATCAAATATGGAAAAATTACCCTAGGTCATGAAGTTATTATAGATGCTATTTTTTTATAAGACAAATGATGTTGATTATATCTTTTTTATATTTTTGTTATTTGTGACTGCATGAAAAATTGATAGTTAAATTTGTCATATAATTTATATTGTTTTTTTAATGTTTATAATAATTAACATATACTACTCGTATATACATCTATAAAACATTTATTGATAAATTGTTCACAATACATTCTTATTATATAAAAATTATTTGTAAACTTCGTATAAAAATGTTGTATAAAATTTTGAAATTAGTTTAACCAAAAACATTTTCATCATCTATATTTTCTAAAAACGAAAAACAAGTTATCAAATCAAACATGTTTTCTAAATCTTAAAAATTTTAAAATATTTTTTTTCTATACAAAAATACAGTTTGAAAGTTTTTCAAACCAAACAGCCCCTTAATTTAAAAAACAATGAAATGTTTTCATATGAAGTTTGTTTGTTTGTTTGTTTGTTTTTATTTTTTATTTTTTATATAATAAGAATGTACCAACGATAGATTTATTAATAAAAAAAAATCAAACGATATTTATCCAAAATTCCACAACTTCCTTCTAACAAAATACTAGGGAAAGTAGGTCAGGTTTAGTTTGATGTACTTGACCAACTGCTATAGTGTTATAGTTTAAAGCAGAAGGCTTCTTTAATAACCTATTTTTTTTTGTAATTATTTACTTATGTGTTTAATTTGAACATTTTGAAAATGTTTTTTTTACAACTTTGAAAATGAAAATTTTGAACCATGAGAATGGAATTTCAGAACCATGCAGTTTAAGTCCAATCTATTTTTGGTTGATGATATATACACCTCCTTTTTTCTATAAATACATATCCTTTTAAAAAAATAATTAAATTTTTAAAATATTTTTTTTAAAATTTTTTAATTTTACACCTACAACATTTTATTTAGTACCTTTTTTCACAAATTTTTCCTTTTTTTTTCTTTTCGATTTTTACATGTACTCCCTTACCTACCTTTCTTTTATCCCACCTATTTTGGTAATATGTGAAAATTGAAAGAGAACAAAAAGTGTATGAAAAAAAAGAAAGTAACAAATTAAAAGTTGAAGGTGTAAAATTAGAAAATTTAAAAAAAGAATTACAATATTTTATAATTTTTTTTAAAAAAATAAAGGAAGTGTACTTGTAAAAAAATAGAGGTGTATATATCATGAGCCTCTATATTTTCTATTTGAGTATTTCTCCATGGGCTCAGGTCTTCCGCCCCGGTCTTTCTTCTGGAACAAGTGTTGGCCCTGGTCATTGGACTTATTATTATTTTTTTTTATCTTGATTACAAGTTGCATTCTATTGGGCTTTTATATAGGCCCCATGTTTGAAATGGGGCTTGACCCAAAGCAGTTACCGTAGGAATTCGGTAAGTTACGTGTGTGCTATTAAACCTTGGCTGGCAAAGTAAAATAAATCACGTGCGTGCGGTTGAAAATCAAAATATTCATTTCGCTTCCGCGTCACGTGGCGGTGATGGTCAAGAGAGACACGTAGTCTACTCGGCAACCTTTTTTGTTTCCACGCCCTCATAACAACTCTCACAGCGCGTGCAGATTGTGACACTCGCCAGGGTAAGCATGACACGTGTAAAAAGTTTCTAGAACAGAGCAAGAACCCGTTGCGGGGAGCGAGTAGCATTGCGCTTAAAATCAAAGGTCGAGGATAAGATTAAACATTTTCCCTCTCCCGTTATAATATTGGTTACTTGTTCAACAGTGCACATAAAGCTAGGAAACAAGCGACGGTGCTCGTGCGATCCAGATCGTACGTGCGAGAGCGCCTTTGAGCACGAGCCGTGTGATGAAATTTAACGGCTGTGATTTTACAAATAGCGGCGGGGAAGGAGGCGCGAGTCTTTAAGTAGAGGACCGAACTAGCGCAATGAAATCACATTCATTTTCCACATTTCTTTCTCTCTCTTCGTTTATCTCTCTCTCTCTCTCTCTCTCTCTCTCAGGTGTGTGTGTCGGAGTATGAAGAGTTAAGGTGAGCGAGAAAGAGGAAAGGGGTTTCTAGGGTTTGTGGCGCATTTCCTGCTTGAGATCCAGGTTTTGAATTGGATTCTTGCTTAGGGTATCGCGCATACTATGTTTCCTTTTTTCCCATTTGCTTAGCTTCGATAAGTTATTTCCTTCGATCTAGAGTTATCGCTTCTGCGGGATACTCTGTCTTAATTTCTCTCTATCAATCTTCTTTTCATTCGGCACCTCTTTTCGCGTCCATTGTAATATTGATTGTTCGAATTTTCTGTTCAATTTGGCGTCGCGAGGGTGCATTGTCGGGCGTGAGCAAGTGTGTTAGGGTTTTTGTGAAGCTTGTGGTATTTATTGGGCTCTGGGAACTATTCCATTGTTCAAGCTCGCGGACATTTAGTTCATGTTCGCTATTTATCTTCCCCTTATCCTACCTTAATTATTTGGTCTGAAGTGAAGGCCTTTATCGTCAAATAATATCAAATTACTGTTATGGGAGTGCAGAGAAGACTATTACGAGCCTAAAGTTTTAGCAATTTTGATATCGGCACATAGTGATTGTATAGAACCAAAGAGCTTAATTGCTGTTGTTTTGTCTCTTTATCTGTTTGAAGACCTATTTGTTAAGATAAAAAGGAATAAAACGATTGGTTAATAAGAGAATATCCTCATCATTTGGTTTTATCGTGTTCTTTTTGTTATTGAAGTCTGGAGAATGATTATGACCTAAGTTGTACTTTAAGAATTCAGAGATTTCCAGAAATTGCTATGTGAGTGTAGAGCTCATTGTGACGGTTGATATGTGCAGATATTGCAATTTTATCTTATGGCACCAACTGTACCTATAGAATTTGCTGGACAAAAGAAATCTAGAAAGTGTTCTCTTTCACAAATGATGGGGAAAAAATCACGAAAGTACTCCAAAGGCCATGCCACCGGTTTTGTTCCAGATTTTCGTCATGCTGTAGAGACTATGGGTGAATCGGAAGGACTTTGTAGCTCGGGAAGGGTCGATAATGAGTTGACTATGTCAGAAGGCTCGTGTGCCCCGAAGAGGAAGTGTCTTACTTCTAATCTTGATGGTCATGAGAGTTTTGATGTGCCATTTCAGGTGTTGTCTTTATCTAAGATGAAACGTTCTGGGAGAAAGGACTTGAAATTGAGGTTAAAAGCTGAACTTCAAAAAGTAAAGACACTCCAAAAGAAATTTGCTGGTATGAATTCAACCACTACTGAATTATCTCCATATAGTGACATACGGAGCTGCAGTGAGGGAGAGAAGAAGCCTCCACTGGAGAGCCAGCATAGCACACTGGAATCATCAGCACTACATGGTAAGAAGCGCCCACCACCAAAGCGTAATGGCCCAAAAACGAAGGGTAGTATTTCTGGGCAATTTGAAGCTGTGAAATCTGCTGCATCAGTGGCTCCTTCATATGCTGCATTGGTGAAGCAGTCCGAGTCGTTACTTAATCGTGTGATGTCTCATCAATTTGGTAAAGTTTTTGACAAGCCAGTTGACGTTGTGAAATGGAACATTCCAGATTATTTCACTATCATCAAGCACCCGATGGATTTGGGTACCGTGAAGAGTAGACTGATTTCGGGTGAATATTCAAGTCTCATGGATTTTGCTGCAGATGTGCGGCTGACTTTCTCAAATGCAATGACTTATAATCCACCTGGCAATGATGTGCATGTCATGGCAGAGACACTAAATAAATATTTTGAAACAAGATGGAAGCCTATAGAAAAGAAGATTCTTGCCATTGATGATGTACCATCTGAGCCTTCAAAATCCACTACTTGTGTTGAAACTGAAATTGCTGACCTAAATCCTCCTGCGAAAAAGAAGAAAATAACACCTAATGACACTAATGTCAAGCCAGAGTCCATTAAAAGAATCATGACTGATAAGGAGAAGCAAAAGTTGAGTATGGAATTGGAGGCGTCGCTTGCAGATTTGCCTGAAAACATTATTGATTTCTTGAAGGAGCAAAGTAATACTGTTGGCCAGACAAATGATGATGAAATTGAGATTGATATAGATGCCCTCGGTGATGTTACATTGTTTAAACTGCGGAAGCTTCTTGATGATTTTTTGCTAGACAAGCAAACCCAAGCAAAAGCTGGACCATGTGAAATGGAGGTCTCGCTCTCTCTCATGCTTTGTGCGCACCTGTGTACATGTGCCAAACTACTTCTATTTGCACGTTTAAAAGCCATCTGTGGCATGTATGTCATACAGACTTGTAATTATTTATTGCTTGATCTTCATGCAGCCTGCCAATGAATCTGGATTTAGCAATTTATCAGTGCAACCATGTAAAGGTATCTTTTCTTTTAGTTGTTTGTGTCATTTTTTGGGTTACTTATTTTGGTACAAATGTTATATGATAGTTATGTAACTATGATGTTGATCCTATAATTTTAATTTTTAATGTATGCAGGCAATGAACCAGTTAAAGAGGACGTGGACATTGTTGGTGGGAATGATCCTCCTCTTTCAAGTTACCCTCTTGTAGAGATTGAGAATGATGGTACCAACAAAACCAGCCAACACAGTAGTTCAAGCAGCTCTAGTAGTGAATCTGGCTCTTCATCCAGTGGTTTGTGTTACTGCATACTTTTGACGTGTTTTTCCAATTTCTGGATATGTTGTTATTCGTCTGATATCCACAGTATGCAAATTCTTTATTCTTATTTCTTCTATATGGTGACTTATTGTTCATACAATTCCAAATTTATGTAAATTTTTATATAGTACTGGAAGGCTGGAACTTTTTGTTTACCAGTTTGTTTTCATGCTCTTTGAAGAGATGTTTTGGTTCATTTTACAGTATAAAGTATTTATGTAAATTTTTAGAGTGCTGGAAGGCTGGAATTGTTTATTTACCAGCTTGTTTTCATGCTTTTTCAAGGGATGTTTTGGTTCATTTTACAGTATAAACCATAATGTATTGCTGAGACTTTGATTTAAAATGTAAATTCTCCCACTGAGTAGTTGCCCTTTGATAATTTTTGAATAATCAGATGTTCTTTTATTTGTTTGAATCCCTTTACTACGTGACTAATCTTTAATTGATTAATCCCTTCACTTCATATATATATATATATATATATGTTCAGGACTCGTTATTTTCCTTTAGAGATGCTATGTAGACCTCATTGTAATTCATTTATATGTGTAACATGTTTATGTTTTTACACCTTGTTTTACACATATATTTATATCTTTAGTACAGAACTACAGATGTTGATCGGTGTTCTTCTTGCTGCATTATTATTCGTCTATAGCCAATTACTTTATTAAAGACTAACAACTTACAGTTTATTTAATTGGGACTGTTTTTTTGAACCTGCTTGTTTATTGTTGTTGGTTTGGTTCATCTTGTGTACTATAATATCTGTCATGGCAATGCCTTTCTTCTAATATCACAGTACCCTGGCCTTGAAAGTTTAAGGTATATATGATACTTGGATGTAAAAAAAATGACTCTCAACTTGACCTATAGCCCAAGAAATTATTGGTTATTAAGTAATATCATCTTTTGAAGGATAATGGTGGATTGGCAGTGTGGACAGTTTGTCATACATAATTAGAGGGTGATAGGAATCAGAATAGGAATATGGTAAGACTGAAGTAATATTGATACCAAATTAGAATAACATCAGAGGTATATCAATAGAAAACTAACAAATAACTTAATATAGAACCCTTTTTCAGAGGAAGCTCCAGCTTCTTCACTCAGCCCCACCAAATATTCCTTCTAACAAATTCCTTGATACCCGTCCTTGAGCCTCCCAACTTCCCTCTATATAGAGTTCTTTGCATCCCACTCCATTCTTCGCTTGCTATCTGTTCTTTCTGTTATGCCCCCTTCTAATTCCTTCCTCTCCCTTTAATTCCCCATACTAACCTTACGACTTCTCTTCTTTGTTAGCTCCTAACTGCAGGCTCAATAAGCCCAACAATGGGTGACTCATCTGAGGGCATAATGGTTGGGTTCCATTTGTATACTTGGTGGAATATTTGGCTTATCATGGTTATAGAACATGATGGTTTTCTTTGGTTGAGAGGTTACATTGGTTATGTTGACAAGTCAAAATATAATACTGAGGTCTTAAATAGGCATCTTACTATTGAAATTTGAAACTTTTGAGAGTTTACTAAGCAAGTATTCAGTTACTTTTCGAGTTGTGGATATTAGTAGTGATAGTTCATAGTTCCCCCCACCCATCATTAAGGTCTGACATGCCCATTCTTGCATTGATTGACCGATGTAGTGGATGCCACTGCCACCTACTTGAAAAAGGCTTGCTAGCTCCTTCCCTTGTATTAGGTATTATGTTCAGGTTGCAGATGTTTGCCTGAGGGGCTGTGGGATGGGCAACTTGATATATTGGTAAATTTTGGGGGACAGGGTTTTACGAGGGTATTCAACATTTGATGATGTAGTGGTGAAGAAGTGTTTCTAGAGACAGCTTGACGTTGAAGGTAATCTTGGCTAAAAGGGTTTGACTTGTTTGGCCATCCCTGCTTAAACTGGCGATTTTTGACTTGATGGGTTTGTTAGGAACCAAGAATAGGAATAGGAAAGAAAAACACGATTTTATTGAATTGAGTGGATAGAGCTGAAAATAGGAGAGAAATGTCTCGTCCAAGTGTTTCCTCTTCACAAAGAGCTAATGCTCAATTTACAAATGACTATACATCTTCCTAAACCCTTCAATGGTCATTCTTGCACTTTCTATATCTAATTAAGCCCTCTAGTTAACTTACTAATTAATATTCTAACTATCCTGACTAACTCCCCCTTCCCCATGTCCTAAGTCCTAACAGGTTTCATATCATCCCACCAATCTGCATAACATGGTTAGTCGACATGTTGCTTTTTTTTTCTTCGATTTCCTGTTCCCCAACTCCAAATCTTCTAAGACTAAACCTGAATCAATTCCTCAGTATTTTCTGATGGCCTTATCATTTAAAAAATATTTTAAAATTACATCATAGAATGGCCGGCTTAAAATGTTGTATCTTTTACCCCTTATTTTTGGTTTTGGAAAATCACATGCATGAAATGAGTTGGGGCATGTAATTTTTAGTTTGATTACATCGGTGGATATATATATATATATATATATATAGCACGAGCC